ACATACCTGCAAAAAGAACTTGTCTGAACATGATGTGGAGTTTTTAAGAATTACTACTGTTTATTGCTCCATAGGGGGGATAACTTTAAATTTCGAACGATTTTTTTATAAGAAAAGCACGAAGTTGAGATTAAAATTCTAGAAACACACCAGTCACCAGGTTTCTAGAACAGGTAGCAGATCCAAATTGACCCTTTTTGGTTGATTTGCTGGTAGCTAGTGATGACCAAGAAATCTGGTTATCACCGGGCTGAGATTTTTCTTCTTCTCCATGCTTACTGTTAGTTTGTTATCCATAGATATTAATATTAACAAGCTTTTAGTTTTATTTTCAGAAATGCAGCCCATTTTCAGCCGAGTTGTTCAACTCAAGCTCAAAGATTCGGATGGTTCCACTTCTGTGCAACTATACCTCTTCCGGAAGTTCTGCTCAGTCAAAAGATTCCACGCAAGATTACTGCAAACTAGTCTGGGAGACCTGCAAAAATGTGACAATATTGAACTCTCCTTTTCAACCTTCCTTGCAAGGAAGTGGAAGACTGCCTAGTTCTGCATCAAAGCTCATTGGTGTCTGGCAGTCAGAAAATGACTTTTGTACATCATTTGGTGGGTCGTCTGATGATAAGTCAGTATGCTTCAGTGGAAATGCAGTTTCATTCAACACTACCGAGCCACCACCCTCCCCTAAAGGGGTGTGCCTCGAGAGAATCGGCAACGGGTCATACCTGAACATGGCCCCTCACCCTGATGGATCCAACAGGGTTTTCTTGTCCAACCAAGCAGGAAAGATATGGTTGGCAAATGTCCCAGAACAAGGGTCTGGAGGCATTCTGCAGTTCGACGAGGCGAACCCATTCCTTGATCTGACCGACGAAGTGCATTTGGATTCTGAGTTTGGGCTCATGGGCATAGCATTTCATCCAAAGTTTGCTACCAACGGGCGCCTCTTTGTTTCCTATAACTGTGATAGAACTCAATCACCTAACTGTGCTGGTAGATGTTCATGTAATTCTGATGTTGACTGTGACCCTTCAAAGCTAGGCACTGACAATGGTGCGCAGCCATGCCAGTACCAGGTTGTTGTTTCAGAGTACTCTGCAAAAGTCTCCTCATCAAATGTTTCTGCGGTATGCATTTGGATACCCACTTCCGTGCTGATATAGAGCTAACACTTGAATAGCATTCTCATTGCTATTTTCTTTTGCAGGCAACATCTGCTAATCCATCAGAGGTTAGCAGGATATTTACAATGGGGTTGCCGTATACAGCTCATCATGCAGGACAAATACTTTTTGGACCTACAGATGGGTATCTGTATTTTATGATGGGGGATGGTGGGAACAAAGGCGACCCTTTCAATTTCTCTCAGAACAAGAAGTCACTTTTGGGAAAAATAATGAGGCTTGATGTTGACAATGTACAAAGTAAGTTAGCACTTGAAACATGGATCTTATTTTATTTGCTGTCATATTTGCATCCTGTTGACTCCATCTCATAAATTTTTGTTTACTTAGTATAGTCTGTCTGTTGTTCAGTACCATAGCATTTGATTAAGGCTTATTAATATATTTATCAATTGTACATTTTATCATTTCAGAAAATCATTTGAAATACTTAAATTGTTGATATTATAAATATTCAGTTTATCATTTCAGGAAATCATTTCAAATACTTAAATGTAACTATGCTACTCCCTCCTATCCATTGTACTAAATCAGTGACAATTAATATGGATCGGAGGGAGTACTAAAGTTATTGAAAATTTAACACTGGTGGGAATTTTCGCTACTTAGGAAGCTAATCGATTGTTTTCAGCTGTTATGCTGAAGTTACCTTATCAGATGAACATTGGCGTTATAGAAATTTTATAGATGGAGAACCCGGTAGCATGGGTAGTTAACGTGGCACGCCAAAGATTCAACTTTCGTTATCTTTTTTCTCCTAAACCCTTGTAATATTTTGTTTTCAGGCCAGAAGCAAATTGGTAACCAGACCTTGTGGGGCAACTATTCAATTCCAAAGGACAATCCATTTGCTCAAGACAGTGACTTGCAACCAGAGATTTGGGCCTTGGGGTTTAGAAACCCATGGAGATGCAGTTTTGATTCTGAGAGGCCTTCCTACTTCTACTGTGCAGATGTTGGGCAGGTATGCCGTGAAGACTACACGCAACAAATTTCACATTTAACTTGCTTATTGCTCAATTTTGATTAATGTAGCATGTAGTTAAAGTGAAGCTGCTGAACTCTACTACTCCCTCCGTCCCATAATATAAGATGTTTTTGGACACTACACTAGTGTCAAAAAACGTCTTACATTATGGGACGGAGTAGTAGATGATATGGTCACAAATTTGTATTATTTCAAATTTATCTTTGTATTCATTTCTCCAGTACTTTGACTGAATATTGTCGTATGACTATCAGACACATGATCAATAAGCCCCCGTTTTCCTTTTTCAAGGCTTGGCTCTTATAATCTCCATTACTGCACAAGAGTTCGACAGTTCATGTGCTTCCATTTTATTTTAGCATTCCCTTCTCACACATGTTCCGGCCTTTATCATGGGACATGCTTCTACATCGACATAAAAAACTTCTTTAAACCGCTTACAATTATCATATTCAGGAAGCTTCATTTTCGTAGTTTGTTTTGTTTAAAGAATGCTTCCCTCATATGCCAGTATGCCACCATATCTACTGTCAATACTAAATACTATCTGTTTCTTACTGCTGGCTCAGTACAAACCTCTGGACAAACCATAATTTCCTAGGTCGTTGACCTTGTTCAGAAATTGCATTTGCTTTGTCTGTCCATCTAAATCAAATGGTGTTTTTTACCGCACACGCACAGGATGCATACGAAGAGGTAGATTTGATCTCCAAGGGCGGAAACTACGGATGGCGTGCATACGAGGGCCCGTATGTCTATCATCCAGAATGGACACCCGGAGGGAACACATCACTTAGTTCCATAAATGCCATCTTCCCTGCCATGGGTTACAGCCATTCTACTGTGAACAAGAACGTTGGGTCTGCATCAATTACAGGCGGATATGTCTATCGTGGGTCTACGGATCCCTGCTTATATGGAAGGTACACTTCTCCTAACATGAATAATAAATGTGCAAACAAGTAAAAGTAGTACGTGCTTCTGGACATGGAGTTTCTGCTTGCGAGCTCAAATGTTTTCTCATGAGCAGTAAAATCAGAAAAATAGTAAAATAAATAATAATAACCGATGGGTATATCTTTTGACAGCAAACGTTGACGAATTGTTTACATACGTACATATTTTTGTGAAGAAAAAACATTTCCAAATGCTCCGGGCAAAAAAATTTATCAATACTCTAAGAAAATACTGTTTTTGAAAGCATTCTTACAACCTCTCTGACCCACTACACATGATTTGATGATCGCAGGTACATTTACGCCGATCTATATGCATCGGCGATGTGGACCGGCTCGGAGACCCCACCGAGCAGCGGGAACTACACGTCCACCCTGACGCCGTTCAGCTGCTCCAAGAACTCCCCGATACCCTGCGAGTCCGCCGGCGGGGCCGGGGCCGCTCTCCCGTCGTTGGGCTACATATTCTCCTTCGGCGAGGACAACCGCAAGGACGTGTTCGTCCTGGCCAGCAAAGGCGTGTACCGGGTGGTCCGGCCCAGCCTGTGCGGCTACACCTGCGCCTCGGAGACGCCGGCGACCGGTAACGGAACTTCGACGCCGCCTCCCGGCCCTCCGTCGTCTCTAGCCTCGGTGACGCGAGTAGGGAAGTCCATGGCGGTAGCCTTGGCGTGTGTTGTAGTATATGCGCTGTACTTTTGAGCTCCATGTGTGTGTGTGTGTGTGTGTAAAATTGCAGTATTTCTTTTTAGGTCAGAGGCTCACAACGCGCATGCACACTCACATCTATGAATATACGCACGCAAAACCCTATCCGTATGAGCAGCTCCGAGAGACCGAGCCGGCAGTTCAGTATTGGTTATGTACTAAAGTGATGAAGACTTGCCACATTGCTTAGCTGAAACTTTGTTTCTTTTTGTTATCGTCGGAGATACTCCTTCCGTCTCATCATAATATAAGAGTATTTTTGACACGGTTGGGGCTTGTGGGTCCACAGTGGTGCCAATGAATGTGTTGGGGCCGGCCGGGTCGGGTTTGTCCTAGTACTAGCAACTTGTGTTGTGAAGCTGCTGCAGTGCTGCCTGTGTTCGGCTAGGCCGTCGCCATCCCGGCTTGAATGAATTTCTGCTACTACTAATTGGGCCTGCCAACGGTTGAGAGAAGACGGGAGGAAGGAAGCTCGTCGGTCGTCTTGCTTGCTTGCTGTAGGGGAATGGATTGTTTAACAACCGAATGTCACCTTCATTCTGCGGTTGGCTCCTGATCCTCGAGTAATCGTGCAGACGTGTCCACAGCCAAACCGAAAGTGAGAAGAAAAATACTACTTAGCCTGCTAATCTGTCGTCATTTCTAGCTAGGCACCAGAAGAGAACCGGCAGAGGATAGAATCCAATCCAATTCTGTTGGGGAGGGGAGGTCTCTTCCTATCCTGCTCGATGCACGAACCAAGCGAGCAGAATGGAATCAAAAGGATACTCTACTACTAGCTAGTAAATAGTAATGTCATCATTTTTGGGTGGGTACTGACTGCACATTACAGGTGCGTACGTGCTCGTCGTCCTCAGCGACACGGACCATCGGCCGGCCGGCCGGCCCGTGATGCCGGCCATGACGGACCATTCGCCGCGGCATCTAATCATTGGCTTTGAGATTAGTGCTGCCACACGTTTAACCTACCAGGTGTTATAGCTAACTGCATGCATGGTTCTCTCTTCTCCCGCCATGATTGCCTCGTCGTCATCCCCCTTCGTGCTCTCCCACACTCCTCACGCTCCATGATGGCATGATCGATCCATCCACGTCCCACCGTGTCCGTATATAAACACGAGCCCTCCCAGCTCCATCGCTCGACCATACCCACCATATGTGTTGATGTCGTCCTCCTTCATGGACCACGCCGGCCCCTCCGTCCTGCGCTGGCTGCTCTCCGTCGCCGCGGGGGGCCTCTTCGCGCTCTTCCTCCTCGTCGCCTCCCCGGTCCCGTTCCCCTCCGCCACGCTCTTCCTCGCCCCGACCGCCCCCTTAGCCTCCTCCGCCTCCTCCTCCGCGCGCGCCTCCAAGAACCTCTTCGTCGACGCGGCGCTCTCGGCGCAGGCCCGCGCGCCGCCGGCCGCCCCCGCCTCGCCGCCGCGGTTCGCGTACCTGATCTCCGGCTCGAAGGGCGACGCCGGGATGCTGCGGCGGTGCCTGCTGGCGCTGTACCACCCGAGGAACCACTACATCCTGCACCTGGACGCGGAGGCGCCGGACTCGGACCGCGCGGCGCTGGCGGCGTTCGTGGCGGGGCACCCGGTCCTCGCCGCGGCGCGCAACGTGCGGGTGGTGGAGAAGGCGAACCTGGTCACCTACCGCGGCCCCACCATGGTGACCACCACGCTGCACGCCGCCGCGGCCTTCCTGTGGGGCGAGGGCCGCGGCAAAGGCGCCGACTGGGACTGGTTCATCAACCTCTCCGCCTCCGACTACCCGCTCGTCACGCAGGACGGTGCGTCGCCGTGATCTCCTCTTCTTGGTCAACGAAATTAACCAGTTCGCTAGCTGATTTAGAAGATTCTGCCATGGCATGCCGCATGCAGATATGATGGAGGTGTTCTCGGAGCTGCCGCGCGACCTCAACTTCCTCGACCACACCAGCGACATCGGCTGGAAAGCGTGCGTGCTCTACCTAGCTTCGATTGGAGGGCCATGCAGTGCATCTTTTTACAAGCTTCTAAAGTTCATCGTGGCATTCATGGCAGGTTCGCGAGGGCGATGCCGGTGATCATCGACCCGGCGCTCTACATGAAGAAGAAGGGCGACCTCTTCTGGATCCCCCAGAAGCGGGAGCTGCCCACCGCCTTCAAGCTCTTCACCGGTACGTACGCCATGTCCTCCGCTTGCATTGGCACGTAGCAAAGCATATCATCAACTAGTATAAGTAATTTGGATCTTTTTTGGGATATTTAGTTGTGCTCTATAGTGTTTGCCGCCGTTGTGCACGTGTGACACGGCACCTATCCCGTGTGTGCTGCCGATCATTTAGTAGGGTCTAATAGCCAGCTTATACTGTCGGTCACGACATTTCCCAGGGAGGAATTGTCTCATTACAATATCGTCCCGTTCGTGGCTCGCACATTGGCTACGTATCGACGTGACCAAAAAACATGGCCGGTGCGCTGCACATCTTAAAATGATATGATACTCCCACCGGCCCTTATTACATGGCGTCCTCGTTTTGCGTGATTCAATTTTAATCATATATTTCACATACAATATACTCCCTCCGACCCAAAATAAGTGTCTCAAGCTTAATACTTATTTAGAGACGGAGGGAGTATCAAGTAGTATATGTCATAAAAATTACCACTACGTTCGAAACTACTCCCTCGGTTCACTTTTACACGATGGTCTAACTTTTTTTCTGATCCAAACATATGTAGACATATTTTAGTGTGTTTGTTCACTCATTTCTGTCTGCATGTAATTTATATGTTAAAACATCCAAAACATTTTATTGTGAATAGAAGAAGTACGAACGTTATACTTTTTATGAGATATAACATATGTTTTATTGATGAAATTAATGGTCAAAGATGAATATAGACGTAGACAAAGGGAGTTCCACTAACATGGCAGTACTATTTTATATACGACGGCAGAACATCTAGATGGCCGGCCACAACCAAGCACAAAAACAACAAAAACAGCTTGACGACATCAACTACTCCATCTCCCTTAATCTTTTATAATTCTCAAGTTAATCCTTGGTGGCCAATCGAGAGAACAAAAATAATTCTCAGATAATTTTTTTTATTAAGGATGATATATGCTTTGCTTCGTGCCAGGTTCCGCGTGGATGGTGCTATCGAGGCCGTTCGTGGAGTACCTTATCTGGGGGTGGGACAACCTCCCGCGCACGGTGCTCATGTACTACGCCAACTTCATCTCGTCCCCGGAGGGCTACTTCCACACCGTGGCCTGCAACGCCGACGAGTTCCGCAACACCACCGTCAACCACGACCTGCACTACATCGCGTGGGACAACCCCCCGATGCAGCACCCGCACCTGCTCACCCTCGGCGACTGGGACGGCATGCTCGCCAGCGCCGCCCCCTTCGCGCGCAAGTTCCGCCGGGACGACCCCGTCCTCGACAGGATCGACGCCGACCTCCTGTCGAGGGGCCCCGGCATGCTCGCCCCGGGCGGCTGGTGCGCCGCGGAGGTGCTGGCTGCCGGTAGCAACCGGACCGGCGGCGATGACCCGTGCGCCGTTGTTGGGAACGCGGCGTATGTTCGGCCTGGCCCAGGGGCTGCGCGGCTGAGGCAGCTCGTTACGTCGCTCTTGTCGGAGGAGAACTTCCGGCCGAAACAGTGCAAAGTAGCAGTAGTAGAAGAACATATTCCCGCCAAAAAAATAGAAGAACATATTCCCTCGGAAAAGGTAGAAGAACATCACTGAAGCGATTGGCCCAATCCATTCTTTCCGGATGTCATTTTAGTGTAACGTTTCACACAATGTATGTATAGTGCACACCAGAGCCTGGTGCCTGATGCAGACAATGGGTCGATCTCAAGTGACAATTTCTCTTCTTGGCATCTTTAACTTGTGTAAGGGCAACACCAAAGGGCCGACCTAAACGGACGCAGAAAGTGTCCGTTTTTTGTCCATTTGAATGACAGACAGGAGTCCGGCCAAAGAGGAATTGGAGAGCCTGAAAGAAAAACTCGATCTGATAATGATTGATCAATGGAGTACCGATGAGTAGACTCTTTGTTGGGGTGATGTGAGAGATTCAAGGCAAGGAAATTTTACAAGTTGTACTCCCTCCGTAAACAAATATAAGATCATTTACATCACTACTTTAGTGATCTAAAGTTCTAAACGCTCTTATATTTCTTTACAGAGGGAGTACTTCAGAAATTTAAACCACCCAAAGTACTCCAAAACTATGGTTTCAAAGACAAAAAGCATGATGAAACACAAGGTTTTTGCTTGGGTAATGTTTATGGACAGAGTCAATACCAGAGATTTACTATACAGAAGGCATTTTGACATTGGTGAGGACCACTCTTTGCATGCTCTGCCCCTCTGGTTCCTTAGAGACAAACAAGCATCCGTTCTACACGTGTCAATTCAGTATTGAATGCTGGAACGAAATTCATATCCACTGGAACACCAATGCAACTATGCAAGAGATGATGGAATTGGCCCAAGGGAATGGCATCGGCCCCTCTTGAAAGAGATTGTTATTTTGCAGCATGGAACATTTTGGAAACAAAGAAATAGATGCTACTTTGAGAAGATCAGACCATCTCTGCCAGATTGGAGGAGAATGCCTACTGCTAACCTAGACATCCTCAAGCCTAGAGTAAAACCAGAGCTTGCTGAATTTATTGGCAATTTCATCTCTTCTTTCTAGGATTAACTATCTTGTATAGTTTCCTGTTAGTCTCCTCTACCTCTTTGAGGACATGTAAATACTCTGCTAATTTAATACTCCCTCTGTCCCATAATATAAGAGCGTTTTTGAAACTACACCGATGTCAAAAACACTCTTATACTATGGGACGGAGGGAGTAGTATATAACAGTGGGAGCCTCTCCTGCTGTTTTCACTGGTAAAAAAACAAATTTCAAGGCGGAATGATCAATTTTCTATAATCAATCCCACCCCAGCACATCTTGGTTACTGTTTCAAAGAAGAAAATTGTCCAGTATCTAGTGACATAATTATATCATAGACTAGAAAAAAATTGCTGCGTCTGTATCAACAAGCCTTACATCTGTTACAGCATATAAGCTTGAAGATTGTCCATGAAAAAACTAACTCAGACTTGTCACTGTACTTTGTTGCGACAGACTGAATTTTCTCGATTTGATCTACATACATGCAGCGGCCGACCCTGAGAGTGAGAGGAATTCCAATATGACTTCCTCCAAGAGGTCATCATGCAACATCATGGATATGTGCTTGCCGACCGTATATATGTCATCACCAAGTTCAAGCCAGTTTGGATCCAGAACCTTGTCATCAGGATGCGCTATCGCCAGCTCCTCCTGCTGCCTAACCATCATTTGCCAAACCTTCTCAACAGGCCCTTCAGGGCCCCAGATAGGCCTGCACTGTCTAGTAGAACTCACCCATGGGTGTATATTGGTGCAAGGTGCAAGGACATCGGAGAGAACAGAATTTGCAAGATCAAACATAAGTCTCCTCTCTGGCTTTGGCCATGAGGTCATTTTGGCGTACTTGCTCTCAAGCCTCTCAAAGACTTGGGGAGCAACAGGGAAACTAGATGAGTGCCATGACTTGCACAAGAGCTGCCAGTCAGTTGAAACTATCATACCAGAGCTTATGAGAATATCAAGGAGATATGAGAAGTCCCTGTCCTCCTCAACCTGAAATGCTTCCAAAGATTTGTAAGAAGAATCATTGCCATCATCACTTGAGATGGTGGAGACTTCAGGCTCATCTCGGAATCGACGATGGTCTATTCGTGTCTCCATGCCTGAGGTCAATAAAGAAGTTGCAGTTAATGAATGCATGATGCAAAAATCCTGTAAACATATCTTCTGTGCAATTCTCGTTAATAGCTGCAAAAGAAGTGATTTAAAACTCAACTTAACTATACACCTAAATTCTTTGCTTGAACAGCATGTTGCAATGTGGGAGTTAGCAATAATGTTTATCAGATGCTATGTCGTAAATCGTAAGTATTTAGCTTAATTTAATGATTTTTTGTATTAACTTCGCAGTTTAGGAGAGCTAGCAATGTACTACAAAAAGACACAAGCACTAGTCTATGCAGTACAGCCTTCTAGCTATATTGTTGTCTTACTGAGCATGTCTTGCAAGTCATTCTTGAAGAATCCAGAACAGCAACTGTCTTCATCAGTTGGGGGCTGTAGAATGGACACTGGGCTCGGCTGCTCAAACTCTTCCAATCCTTTACGAGACTTTGCCAGATCATCATGATTAGAAATAGATACGGATTCATAGTCATGACACTGCAAAGGCGTTGCTGAAACCTAAAAAAGATAGGGAAACGACTTGAAGAGCTGTGCACCATAAACTTAGGCTTCATGGTATCAGCATGAAAAGATTTAACAATCTAAACTTGTCAACAGATGAAAGTTGCATTAGAGTCTACATACTTAGTGGGAAAAATGATGAAGTTTAAATATGACATAACAACAAGTATTCTACTATAGTGGAACAGTGCACATCTTATATCATGAAAAAATAGAACTTAGAAAACATATTAATGTTAAAGAAAAAACATCATGAATTGTACACAATTCAGGATCAATAACTGAAACAGTCTCATTACAATGATTCTGAGTGAGTGAATTGAGTTCACAGAGTTCTTTTGTCTTGTCGCACTTGATATTTTTTAATGACGGAAGAAACACATCCTCGTGATAATAAGAAAATTATGAAACAGGAGTATGATTCAAAGCAGCAGTTGAACACTTATTGTTGCAGAGGAATTGGATTGTTCATGTTTCTATGTTAAATTGTTAAAGTAGAACTTTTTCGCTATTTCATTCTTGATTCGTTGAAACAACAGAACAGTTTGCAACATGCAAGAATATTATGTTTTGTTTTACTTTGCTAAATTCATGGCGCACAAAGTTCTGACCTTCTGTTCCCTAGATAATTGCAATTGAAACGAAGAAGGCACAGTTTCAGCAGGCTCGTGGATTAAGCCCTTATCTGTCGCGAACAATACTCTCTCATTTGTGCAGACAGAAGTTGAAACATTATCAGATGGACGCCATGAATGACACCTGAAATCATCAAGAGAAGGAGAAGCAGGTCTCCGCTGCTCCAAGGCAAGACTTTTTACCACAGAAGCATTCCTTAAGTTATTTTGCCTCCCGCTGGCAATTTGCTTGAGCCTTCGTTTGGCCAGAAAAGAATCAAAGGTAACCTTGCCATTGTTGTAGCTAACTGAAGGATCTGGGAAAATTTCACTGTTAGGAGACCCTTCGCAGGAAGAACTCCTGTCCAATGAGGTGTGAAGAGACAGTGGAGATCCATGCTTTGGTAAAACTATAAAGCATCCTTCCTTGTTGTGGCCTTTGCCCTGGTCAAGTTTATTGTGTTGAATCTGAGCATGCGGGTTCAAATTTTTCTTTACCCTCTCTGAATCAGATAAAGCAAACATCTGTGCAAGAGTTCTCGATCCGACATCACCTTCATCATACTTCCGAAAGGATTTCCCAGGTAAGCTACTTGATGATGACTTGTTTTGCCTGGAGTCAATGTCATCGCCAGAATACATCTGAAATGATCCAGCGCTATTCATATCTACGATGTTGAATTGATCAAATGATGGCTCCTCTCCCTTTGACAGAGAATTGATGGCATCACTAGTCAAGTATCTTTCTCTTTTTATTCTAGCCACATTAACAGTATCTAAAAGATGTTGTGAAACTCTCTCATTGCTCATTACAACAGACTCACCCAACTTCTTCTTCCTATTTCTCCTGGAATTGCAATTGTCATGAGAGAGCAACGACATGGAAAAAGAGTTCTCTGGATCATGACTGTTCCCCAAGCCAGGCTCCAGAACGACAATGTTGTTGAAATCTCCGTAATTCCCTCTCGACATATTTTTTATATCTTTAAGTGAGGAATTAGCTAAACCCACAGGATACTTCCTGAAAGTGCCTGCGGTATCTTTCTCATGCTGATTATTTGGGGAATAATTCAGATCGCGGGGGCACTTCTCAAACAAAGGATTGTCTATTTCAAGTGGATTCAAGCGATCCAAGCCATTGTTGTACTCTACTTCATTATCAAATGTTTCATCACAGTAGGGAGACTTTGATGGCATAAGCTTTTTTAATTTCATTGCACTCCTCTTCAAGCTTGGCAGCCCTTTAGGGAAATGGTATGACATCTCTTTTGTGAAAGTCTCCGGTAGCTCCTCCGACACTTCAAAGACATCCTTGAATTGTTGATGTCTTTTATTGGCTACGTAAGTAGGTGGCAATACGTCAATTCCCATCAGTTTTGCGACGACACTGGGGGATGACCGTCTTTCCTCCAATTCTTTCAGTACATCCTTCCCAACAAGTAGTTTGCTTGGAGAGCTGCTAATCCTTTGTGGCCTGCACTCCTTATATCGATGCCCAAGCTATAGACAATTTCCAAGATGAAAAGGAAAAAAAAAATCAGTGCTTCAGAATTTGGTTGTTCACAAGATATAACTATGAAACCATTCAGTTTCAAGAGGATTTTAATGAACAGAAGGAAGCAACTCACTGAAATCTGTTCCATCTTGAGAAGTGACTATATGAAGAATCAACTAAGAGGAGAAGTTCTGATATTCGTCTCAAGTCAAGTGATTTGTGCCTACAGATATACATGGAACATATGAAAAATTCTGATAATTATACCTTTGACAAAGAATTAAAGAATGCACAAAAGATGGAGAGATAAAATTAACACGTAGTGGCACTCAAAGTCTTTGATTTTTCTGCATTAAAAAAATTCTAAATGTGACTAGCAAGCCAGTAAAGTTGTCATCACTGTGACATCGATATGATCAGCTTACTGAATTAGGAAATCTACTCGTCATCTATCTCCAAGCTTTCCATTGCTCCCCAAAGCCATGTCAGAACTCAGACTATACTACACAAACACAATGGCATAACTCTGCGCTTGGAGCCTAGTGAGAAAGCACGGTAAGGCGGCGCAAATATAGGTTATACACAGCATGCAAAGTAGATCTGTATATATGAAGAGCTATTTTTTGCGTAAACGAAGGAATCAATTAAAACCAGTACACTAATTGTGGCATACTAGCAACTCAACTCCCAAAGACATATATACAAACCATAACATTGTGATGCTATATTGTAGGCAAGAGACACTAAAAACAACAGTATAAACCGTACGTAAGTAAAGCAAAAGCCGAAAAAGTATAAAAGTGCTGAACTCAATACTGGATATGCCTTTCTAGGTGCCAGCATCGGAAAGCCTCTTTACGAGAAAGTTGCATTCTCTGAGGGAATAAACTAATGCGCCAGAGAAAATCACAACCCGAACAAGATAAAATGTTCTGAATGTGGCTTGTGAGCTTATCAATATCAACTGCAATTGTTCTTTGTTGGGTGTGCGCGTGGCTCTAGATAGATCTTAAAATGGAGTACTACTACAACGTTGGAGAATACAGAATACTACTAATTTTCACAGAGAGTGACTGTAAGTTGCTGCGAATGGATATTTCAGAGAGAAACAAGTTGTTAGTAAACAATCAAAGCCAAAAGTCCTCGCTCACCTTAGTTTCAGCCAGATCTGAAAACCACCGGGGTGTAGCACCAAAGCAGATTCGCTCCTAACCGGACGCGGGGCTTCCTCGCGGT